GGGGGGGGTTGGGTCCATGCACCCCCCCCCTTTCCTCCCCCCCGGTTTTTTTTTAAGGTGCTGGGTGAAGGGAGGAGCAGAAAGAGCCTGAAACCCTGGGAAGTTGGTAGCGGGGCGGGCAGGGGGAACTTTAAGATATTTTATGGAGGTGTTATTGGATTCTGAGATTTGGTCCAACTAGCAGCCGGTGGGAGAAACATCCTCGCTTTGTGGGATGGATTTTGGGGTTTTGAGGGTTTTTATTGTAATTTTAAAATTCTTTTTTCTGCACAAGGCGTGCTGGGCAGCGCTGGTCCTCTGGGGTTTGGTTGACACCGGGGAATGGGGGTTTGAGGGAATTTCCCCGAGGTTCAGGGCTGTTGAAGCACCCCGGGGGAGGCATTGGGGGTCCGATGTGCAGCCCCCCCAGGAATGTCTCTCACTTGGTGGCACCAGGAGCACCCAGACCCAGCTCTGCTGAGGTGCCAGAGAGCGGCTGCATCTTGAGGAGCCTCAAGTATCTCCATTTGTTGTTATTGCAGGATCTGCCCCGTCCCCTCCTTCTCCTGGACGTGCACCCCAAGTGCTGTCGCTGAGCCCAAGGCATGGCTGAGGGGTGGCCCAGCTCCCTGCAGGCAGGGAAGGACAAAAAGCAGACGGGTACGGGCATGAGGTACACGGAACTGGACGACAGCCTGACCAGCCTCATGTGGCTGCAGGACTTCTCCATCGTCAACGCCAGCATGGGCAAGTCCTCCTACTGCCCCAGCGGCCCCGACCCCCACGACTGTCACAGGATCCCCAGTTTTGCGGCCCCGTGCTCGCCCCTGGCCGCCGACCCGGCGTGCATGGGCATGCCCCACACTCCCTGCAAGCCCATCTCCTCTTCCACCTCGAGGACGGCGCACCACACCGTGGCCATGCACCCTCAGCTCGCTGAGGACATCGACTACAAGACCAACCCGCACGTCAAGCCACCCTACTCCTACGCCACCCTCATCTGCATGGCCATGGAAGCCAGCAACAAGCCCAAAATCACCCTCGCCGCCATCTACAAGTGGATTACTGACAACTTCTGCTACTTCCGACACGCCGACCCCACCTGGCAGGTAGGAGATTTGGACACCTCTTGCCTTGTCCCCTCTCCCCACAGGGCTGGGGAGGGATTTCCACAACCTCCACCTTGCCAGGCAAGGTCCTGCAAGGATGCTGGATCCTCCTGAGAGGAGAGCAGCACTGGCAGCTGGTGGGGAAGGGCTGCACACCCAAGCTTGGGTGTGCAGAAATGCCACGGCCTTGAGGGCGGCAGAGGGAAGGAGACCCCAGGGCCATTTTGGGAGCAGGGAGGTACCTGTTGGGCTGCTGGTCCCCACAGCTTCTCTTGGCTTCGGGGTCAAGGCGTCTCTGTCCCCAGCTCCACCTTTCTTGAGCTCTGGTGGTGTCCTGAGTCCCTTGGGGCTGAGCACACATGAAATGGCCTGGTTGAATATCTCTGGGTGCTGAAGACCAGGTGTAGGACAGGGATGAAGAGGACCTTCAGGGAGATGCTGCTTGTTGGGCAAATCCCTCGTTGGGGTGGTTCAGAGCAGAAATGCTGCTGCTTTCCAAGCAAGAAGGCAGGTCTCCTCTCCCGTTGGACAGGCAAAGGAGGCTCCATCACGGTGACAAGTCGGTGAGGCCTCAGAGGAAAGCCCAACAGAGGTCAATTAGGGTTGCTGTCCTCAGGTAGCATGAGCGTGTCCCTGGGGGGTAGGGGACAGCCCTCAGGCTCACCAGCTTTGGGGACAGCCTGAAGCACAGGGGCTTTTCCCAGCCGCCTTGGCTCACTGCCCTCCTCCGTCATGCGAGGGGACCTCCAACACGTGAGGCTTTCTAGGATGTGGCAGGGCAGGAGGTTACTGGGTGGCCTGGGTTATTCCCAGCCCAAATCCGCAGCACGCCAGTGATCCCAGTGGCAATGTTCACCCAGACAGTGCTGGGCAACCCCCTGCCTGGGCATTGCCCACCTTCTCCACCAGGCAGGTGGGTCTCCAGCAATTCTTGAAGAGCACTATGGAGAAGGGAACCCCTCCAGTTCTCTCTCCAGGGCCATCTGGGTCCCCCAGTCTCCCCTGTACTGGGGGGGACCTATGGGAGCCATTCGGGAGGAGGAGCTGTGTGCCAGCGTGTTGACTTTCTCCTGCAAACTCACGGCTGGATAATCACCGCGTTTTTAATTAAATGTGTTTATTAAAAAAAGAAAGAAGGTTTTCAATCCCTCTCCGCAGAGATGCAGGGGGTTCACGGGATTGTTGCAGGCAGGAATGATAAATATGTTAGCTGGCCGGGCAGTGACGGAGGGCAGCTCAGGCTGAATGAAGTTTGGGATGGGGAGGGGAGATAGGGAGCAGAGAATTCAGCTTGCAAGACTCTGACCCTTGTAAAATTTCGCCAAACTGTAAATTTGGAGCTACCACAGCCTGGATTGTTTGCAGGGATATCTGTGTTCCTCCTACTTCTTTCTTGTTTTCTTTTTTGAGCAGGACAGGTAGCATTGTTAATGCTCCTGCGGGGCTCGGCGTTGGCCCCTGCTTGCTGCCTGAGGGAGTCCTGAATCCCTCTCCAGGAGTGGTCCCCATCCCCTTCCTGCCCTATTGCCATTTCATTGGTGGCTGTTTGCCCCAGACCATAACAGCCATGTGTGCCCTGCTCCCTGTTTCTTTTTTTTTCCTTTCTTTTTTTTTTTCTTTTTTTTTTTTTTTTTTTCTCCTTTCTTTCTTTTCGAGGTTGTGTTCTCATCCCCTATCCCGATTCCCGTACGTGAAGACAGCCTGGAAAGGTCATGCCACCCGTACTCCGGGGGGAGATGGATATATTCCTGTGGGAGCTGAGTGCTTTGGAGAGGAGCCAACACACCCAAGGAGCTTCAGCCCAGAGGAGGGTTTTGTTGTGTGTGTGTGTGTGTGTGCGTGTTTTTCAACAGCTCTAAGCATTCAAGCCTTGTTTTTCCTATTCGGCACTACGGATTATGGATGAATAAGCATAAAGATATCCAGGCAACATTACAAAAAAAAAAACCCTCTACCATATCCAATCTCTTAATACAGTCTTGGCTTTGTAGAGTCCAACGCCGGGTTATTTACCCAATAACTGAGTTTCCTTTCTGATTATTCACATCACTCCAGGCACATTCAGGGTTTCAGAACAGCTCAACAGGAGCAGAAACTCCTCTTTTTCTTTTTTCCCCCTTTTTTCTTTTGTCCCCCACCCCTAAGCTCAATTGAGTGGTGGCTGATGAAGATGCAGTGATTTCAAACCGAGCTTCCCCAGGCCAGGAGGCACCTCTGAGGACACCCAGGGCTGTGGTGGGGCAACCCACGTGTCTCTCCAGCTTTGCCCGCCTGGTTTGTGTCAGCCTGGCTGCTGGGGCCTATTTTTCAGCCAAATATTTTCCCCTCACCACTAGTAATGGGCGCAGAAGGACTGGGGGATGCAAGGAGGGCCTTGATGATGCCAACCTCCACGGTGCTGCCATGTGTTGCCACTTGTAATGGGGCCGTGGCCACATTGGTGTAAAGACCTTCCTCTTCCTCCTTAGCCATGAAGGAAGGAGGACTCAATCTCCTTCAGCTTAGCTCCATGTTGAGAGCAAGTCTGGCCGGTTTCTCCCAGTGCTCTGCGTGATCCAAGGCACCATGGCCCCAGTTTAGAGCCAAGGAGAGTTGCCCAAAAGATTCCTGTTGGTTGGCAGGTCCTAGCTTGAACCCTTTGGCTCCTGCCACCTCTGGCTGGATCAGACAGGAGGCAAGAAAACTCTACTGGTGACTTGGGGCAGGGGAGTTTCTCCTGGGCACGTAGCCCAGGATGTCTTGACGTTGCTGTTTCTGCTTTCTTTTTCCCAAAGGTCCTTGTTGAGAATGTGCTTTTCCACCAGCCTCCCCACACAGGTAGGTGCCGTGGCAGCAGACAAGCATTCAGCCTTGGTCTTTTTTTTTTTTCTCTTTTGGGTCTAGAACTCCATCCGGCACAACCTCTCCTTGAACAAGTGCTTCATCAAGGTGCCCCGGGAGAAGGGTGAGCCAGGGAAAGGAGGGTTTTGGAAGCTTGACCCCCAATACGCCGACCGACTCAAGAACAATGCCTTCAAAAAGCGGAAGATGCCCCCAGTGCAGATCCACCCAGCCTTCACCAAAACAGCCCATCAAGAAGCACAGTCTGTCACCAGCCCATCGGCTTCAGCTTGCACCTCCAGTAACATCCTCAACGTCAACATGGAGTCACAGCAGCTGCTGAAAGAGTTTGAAGAAATCACCGGTGACCAGAACTGGAATCCAGTGGATGGCAGAGCAGGGCAGAAGCGCAAGCAGCCCTCGCCCAACCGAACGGCCAAGGTGCCTCGGCTTTCCAACTCTGCGTTGCTGACCCAGGAAGAGCAGACCGAGCTGGGATCACTGAAAGGAGACTTTGACTGGGAAGCCATCTTCAACACCAACCTGAACGGAGACTTCTCCACTTTTGAGAATTTGGAGCTGACGCCTCCGATCAGCCCCGTAACACACGACCTGGACTTGACAATACAGGGGCATCAGATCGACTGTCCCCAGGAGCAGCAGCAGGAGCAGCAGCAGGAGCAGGTCCTCACCGAATCCAACCAGAACAACCTGGACTTTGACGAAACCTTCATAGCCACCTCTTTCCTGCAGCATGCTTGGGACGAAGGGACCAGCGATTACCTCTCCGACTCCATCAACGTGGAGCAGTTGTTTGAACTCAACGACCCCTCTTTGCCAGAAGACGTGAGCGACTGGAGCAGTTTGGCGTCCCTCTTGTAAGATGCCAGTCACCATTCAAAGGCCACGTAGACTTTAGTAGGATGCTCCCCCCCATCCTGCTGGGACTTACCAGGGACAAGATTTTCCTAGAGACAGAGACATCCACAGTGACTTTTACCTGCTTCATTTTAAGATTATTCACAGAAACACCGGGGGGAGAAAAAACCACCACCACAGGCACTGCTGGATATATCGTTAAGGGATGCATCAGAAGTCCATGAGTTTCCTTAAGAGAAGAAATGTAACACTACTTATTTTTTTACTTTTAAAGGAAGAAATGTGAATTATCATATTTTTTTCCGTGGAAATGGACACGGCACATGTTCCTTCAGGGCTAAAGGAGAGCACCTGCTAAATTCCATCCAAGACATCAGATTCCTGGTGACTTAGGACTCGATAGACTAAGTGCAATTTCCTCACTCTTGCGTCTCTCCGTTTCTCTTTCTCTCTTTCCTTTTTCTCTTTAGGTTAGTTGGTAAGCATAGTGTGATAATTAGCTAGCAAGCAAAGAGAGGTCCCTTCTGGATTCTCTGAGTTCAACCTCCCTCCTGACTTGTGCCTAGGGAAGAAGAAAAGGTTTATAAATTCAGCATCTGCCTCTTTAGATGTTTTTATATAATCTATTATATATTATATATTCAAAGAAACCTATATTTTTAGCACTAGAATTTCTTAATAGTGGGGGGATAATGCAGTTTGGGAGTTGTTTTATATTTTTCACTGTTTAAAGGCTTGTGTTTGTTGTTCTGTAAACCAAGACTACGCGAGGGAGGATTCCTGCAGCAACAGGTTTTGTTAAGGATCCAGGAATTGTCCCCGGCAGGAGAAGAGCAGCAGGGACCGGGGCACTCCCAGAACTGGCTTTTATATTTTTTTGTACCCAAAATCCTCACTGCGGTTACTGAAGGGTCTAGACCACCAGAAGCCCTCTCTGTTTTTCACCAGCTGACATAGGCCCTCTCCGTTTTTTTCTGGTCTGAGACTGTTACTCTCACTTCTTTTGCTCATCCATCAGGCTCCCCGTGGCTGCCAGGGCAACGCAGGACCCGGATTAAAGATGTGCTTTTTGTGGGAGAAACCCCCCCATGAGCTGGTGGTAATGGGGTCACTCCACATCGAATGCTTCCAGGTGGGACTGAGGAGGAAAGAAATCCACATTCAGGCTCCATCCAGGAGTTCAGGCCAAAGACTATGCACGCAACGGGCTCCAGGGATGGCAGTGGAGATGAAGTCCCACCCAGCCAGGAGCAGCTCGTGAGCCAGGAGAGCCGTTGGGATGGACACAAACTGCAGCTTTGGCCCTTTGGCTCAGTACGTAGCAAAAACGTGGCAGGGTCTCTGCAAAGGAGCTGAGAAACACTTCAGGAGCGGAGCCAACCTCTGCCAAAACTCGACTTGAAGCTCTCAAGAACTGGATTCTTCACCTCTCCTTCGCCGTAGGTTATTAGAGATAGAGTAGCCATTAGGTAGGAGTAAGTAGAAGCTGTTTTTTTAATGGTGTGTCTTAGACTTGCCGAAAAATGGAAGATTGTAAGGAGTTTCTTTGTTGGTTACAAAAGCACTTAGGACCTTTAATGTGAGCAATATAATTTAGCGAGAGTATAGTTATAGTATAAGAATCAATAAACAAGCCTTTAAAAAAAAAATATAAATTACCCTTGGAGTAATTTGCACCCAAATTTGGGGAGAGGGTGGGAACACAAGTCCTGCATCCCCCCAGTAAAGCATCTTCAGCTCATGCGAGCAGCAGAGCTGGGGCTGGGGCTGCTGCTTGGTCCAGGTGCCAGCGTCTGAAGACCCCTGAGATGCCACCACACGGCTGGGGCCACTGTCCTGGGCTGGGGATCAAGGACCATATCTCTGGGCAGCTTTGGGGGTCAGCGTAGATGTTTATATCTTTATTGACAATGCTTGTTTTTATTTCTTGGTTTTGTTACATTTTCCTGTTTTGGGGGCTTGATACTGATGCTGACGAACTGCAGATACACGTGTGCAATTTAACCTTTTTCATGGAAAGTTATTTACAAATTAAAAAAAAAAAGAAAAAAAATGGAGAATTAAAAACCTTTTTGCCTACTTATTTCCCTCCAGCACCGCCTGGCTCTGTCTCACCCTCTCCCCTGGAGGGGAGAGGACATCTCCCCAGCACAGCCTTGGGTACATGGGTACTCTCACCCTCCCTCTGCAGTGGCACAGCAATTCCCATGGGAAAACTGAGGCACAAACCACCACCTGCGTGGCAGTGGTTACACATCATCTCTGCAGCACAAGGGTGATGTCTTGGGTGATGTCTTGGTGTCCCAAGTCCCGCAAGCTGCTCCCAAACCCTGGAGCATCCTTCCCTGCCCCAACGGGGAGCTCCTGCGGGTAACACGGTGTGAATGCCTGGGACTATCCCTCTGCTTATGCCATGTCCCCCTGCCTGTCCCTGTGGAAACACGAGTGGCTTTGGAGCCCTCCTGGGTGCAGGGTGGCGAGAGGAGCTGCTCAGAAGTCACAGGAATAGCCGAGCCCTCGCGAGGCCAATTACGCCGAGGAGCAGTTGGGCTCTGCCAAGGCAGGGAAGAAAAGCAGCGTACGCTCAGCTGCCAGCACGGGCAGGGAGGGTGGGCTTGGCAGGTTTGGGGACACTGGGTCTGGGGACACAGGGAGGGCAGGGGCCAGGCTGTGGGTACAGCTCTGTGCCCACAGCTGCCACTTGGGATGGTGGTAGGAGGAGGCTGGAAGGGGATGCTGGAAAATGGTGGTCTGGCCCCTTGTCACGTCTGAGCATCTCCAGGGACAAAGATCCCCCTCCAGACCCTCCCTGGGTCTCGTCCAGCTTGGTGCTTCAGATGGACCCGCTCCAGGATGTCTCCCATCCCTCTTGCACTGGGGACATAGCCCTTCTCATCTCTCCAGCACTTGAGAAGCACCCTATCACCTCCCTGGTGATCTACTGGATCCCATCAGCACCAGGAACCAAAGCAGCCAGCCCCAGAACTGCCCCTTTGCTTTGCAGTGGTCACAGCTGCTCCCAATCTGGCCAATTTTAGCCCAAAATAAGGGCTGTGCTCCTGCAGGAGCTCTTCTTGGCTTGTGTGTGTGCCTTGTGCCAGGAGGGCAGGATGTGGTCCTTGGATGAGGTAGGGTTATCCCTGTGGGGGACAGCTTTGATGTGTCTGGGGGGGCTTTTGGAGGCAGACCTGGGCTCTCCTTTCAGCTTGGGGATCATGAACCCCAAAAAACTAATGGGGGATTTCTGTCCCAGCTTCTCTCCACTTCCCCCTGGTAGCGGTGACGCTGGCAGGGCTGCAAAAAGCTGGCAGCCCCCTCGGTTCACTGCTTTATTTTGTTTTGCCAGGCACCGCTGCGTAGTTTGTGTTTTTAAACCCCCTGGAAAGAGAGGAGCCCCTGGCACCCCCCACCCTGCCAGGGGACTGAAAAAAACTACCTTGCCAGGGAAAAATATTCCAGCCTGCCAGAGCCAGTCGAGGGTTTTAAAGTGAGAAAGGGTGAATATAAAGGAGGCACCAGGCGAGGCCTGGAACAACCTCGTTTTGTTCAGCGTCTGAAAGCAACAAAACCAACTTGGACGTGATTTTTTTTTTGCTTTCAATAAGATGGTTTGGTAGAGGGGGGGGGTGGGGGTATATTTTTAAGCAGCAGCCAGGAGGAGGTGTGCAAGTGGGGAGTGCTGTGGGGTGGGAGCATGGCTTCCCGCGGGGGTGGAGATGGGCAGGACACCACGCTGCTGCCCGCACAAAGCCCGTGTGTGCTTGGGGACAAGCCCGGTGCCAGGAGGGAGCTCGGGACCTGGCAGCCCTGGGCCTGCCCGGGCTTGCCGGTGGCAGCGGGGTGGCTTCCAGCCGGTGGCTGGGGCTGGTCCAGCCCTGCGGGGCTGCTCCAGTTCACCCAGCACAGGGATGGTGATGGGTTGGGGACCACTGAGCTGGTGGTGGTCCCTCTGCTCTACGTGTGGGCAAAGCATCACGCAATGAAAACCTCAGATCACTACAGTCCAGAGCCATCTGCATTTTTTGGGGCATCCCACCATTGGCACCCACCAAAGTGGGTCGGGGAAGAGGCCAGCTCCAAAAACTCCCTGCAAACTCAGCCTTCGCAGCCCAAGCCGGGTCCTTCCCCTGCCGGTTATTAAGCACATGGCAATTATTCCTTTATTATTTATTTCTGCTATTCCCCCAGCCCTTCCCTCATCCATCATCCCTCCCTGATGGGCAAACATTGACACCTCAAACCAATCTCCCTTTCGCAGAGAGGGGGGAAAAAAATATACACATAAGCCCTTCTTTTCTCTCCTTTTCTTGCCATGTCTTTCTTTCCCCTCCATTGAGTGCGGGGCTGGCACGGAGCCATTCTGGCAACAGCCGGCTTTCACTTGCTAATCATCCTAAATATTGAAAATCAACGCCTAGAATAAACAGCTCAAAGATTGGGGCCATCTCTGCTCTGTTTGGAAATGCTAATCTCACTGCCTTTTGTTTTCCTTGTGTGGATTTGGTGCTGTGCGTTTGGAGGAGGTCACAGCTCATGGGTTCTCCCTTCACCCCCAGATTTCGATTTTTTGTTTTTATAAAATTCCACACCCCCCCAATGGTAAAAAATTCAGCCCATTTTAACATCCCAGGCTGGGATGGCCGGAGCAGTCGGGGGAGAAGGAGGAGACAGGATGGAGGAGGGTAGGGAATGGACTCGCCTTGCATAGCAATGAATGAACCTCCAAAGTTTGGAAAAAAACAGGTTCCCAAATGTGCATCCAGGAGTTCTCATGGATGGGAATGAATCTTATGGGATTCCTGGGAGCTCCCTGCACTTGGGCAGGGAGCTCCACCCCAGGTACAGTAGGTCCCTGGTGGGAATGGGGATGGCATCTGGGCAGCCTGGCCCCCAGCCCTGTGTTGAGGGTCAAAGCTTGGGGAAGCTCAGGGACTCCCTGCCCCTGCAACACTGTTTTTTATATATGATTTTTTATCTGAGGGGGTGGAGGTGCCATAGCAAACCCCAGACAGTCTATAACAGGCCCGAGGGCTGGACCCCAATGTCTTTGCCTGGAAGGATCAGGCTGGATACAAACACCTTTCTCCAGGCTTGCAGGAAAAGCTGGCTCTGAAAACAGAGAGGGGGGAAAAGCCCCTTTTCTGCTTTTCCAGCTCCAAGCTTGCACTGCTGGCAGAGCCCATGGGACCTGTGGCATTCACACAGCTTGGGTGGCTTATAGCAGCCGAGATGCCTAAAGGGGCTACAGGAAAGCTGAGGAGGGGCTCTTGATCAGGAAGTGGAGCCATAGGATGAAGGGTAACGGTTTTAAATTGGAAGAGGAGAGATTTAGATTAGATCTCAGGAAGAAATTTTTCACTCTGGGGGTGGTGAGACCCTGGCCCAGGTTGCCCAGAGAAGCTGTGGCTGCCCCATCCCTGGAAGGGTGGATGGGGCTTTGAGGGCCAGGCTGGATGGGGCTTTGAGCAACCTGGTCTGGGAGGTGGGAGATGTCCCTGTTCAGGGCAAGGGGTTGGAACTGGGTGATCTTTAAGGTCCCTTCCAACTCTAACCATTCTGTGATTCTGTCCTGATGGGGAAACTGAGGCAGGGTAAGGCGGTGGTCTGATGTGGACCAGAACCTCATTATCCAGGCAGCATTTCCAGAGCATGCCTGCACCCTCGTGTTTTTGGCCATGTTTTTTGGCTGTGCATGGCGGGGGGGCACTCTCTGGCACTGGGGAGCCCATCCAGCAAAGCTCTTTGCCTCTCTCCGCGCCCCAAGGAGCCCCGGAACGGGTCAGTGGGCCACTGCCAACGGCCATTCCTGGCAGCGTGGCCAGCACAATGCACCGGCAGGCCAGGGCTTGCCCCAGCAGCCAGGAGGAGGTGTGCAAGTGGGGAGTGCTGTGGGGTGGGAGCATGGCTTCCCGCGGGGGTGGAGATGGGCAGGACACCACGCTGCTGCCCGCACAAAGCCCGTGTGTGCTTGGGGACAAGCCCGGTGCCAGGAGGGAGCTCGGGACCTGGCAGCCCTGGGCCTGCCCGGGCTTGCCGGTGGCAGCGGGGTGGCTTCCAGCCGGTGGCTGGGGCTGGTCCAGCCCTGCGGGGCTGCTCCAGTTCACCCAGCACAGGGATGGTGATGGGTTGGGGACCACTGAGCTGGTGGTGGTCCCTCTGCTCTACGTGTGGGCAAAGCATCACGCAATGAAAACCTCAGATCACTACAGTCCAGAGCCATCTGCATTTTTTGGGGCATCCCACCATTGGCACCCACCAAAGTGGGTCGGGGAAGAGGCCAGCTCCAAAAACTCCCTGCAAACTCAGCCTTCGCAGCCCAAGCCGGGTCCTTCCCCTGCCGGTTATTAAGCACATGGCAATTATTCCTTTATTATTTATTTCTGCTATTCCCCCAGCCCTTCCCTCATCCATCATCCCTCCCTGATGGGCAAACATTGACACCTCAAACCAATCTCCCTTTCGCAGTGAGGGGGGAAAAAAATATACACATAAGCCCTTCTTTTCTCTCCTTTTCTTGCCATGTCTTTCTTTCCCCTCCATTGAGTGCGGGGCTGGCACGGAGCCATTCTGGCAACAGCCGGCTTTCACTTGCTAATCATCCTAAATATTGAAAATCAACGCCTAGAATAAACAGCTCAAAGATTGGGGCCATCTCTGCTCTGTTTGGAAATGCTAATCTCACTGCCTTTTGTTTTCCTTGTGTGGATTTGGTGCTGTGCGTTTGGAGGAGGTCACAGCTCATGGGTTCTCCCTTCACCCCCAGATTTCGATTTTTTGTTTTTATAAAATTCCACACCCCCCCAATGGTAAAAAATTCAGCCCATTTTAACATCCCAGGCTGGGATGGCCGGAGCAGTCGGGGGAGAAGGAGGAGACAGGATGGAGGAGGGTAGGGAATGGACTCGCCTTGCATAGCAATGAATGAACCTCCAAAGTTTGGAAAAAAACAGGTTCCCAAATGTGCATCCAGGAGTTCTCATGGATGGGAATG